GCATATACAAAATAATATGAAAATATTTCTGGAAAAATTATATCATAGTAAAATTATATTTGTGTAATGAAATTAGTAATTATCTACTATAACGAATTATTTATTATATATACTGAATAATTCATTATAACGTTAACAAAGATTTTTATAATAAAGGCCTAATCAGCTGGATCGGCAACTTCATTATATTGAGACATGACTGTATATATTAAAATATATAGAAGGTTTACTAAAAAAATGGGATTTTAAATTTTTTAACAAAAATTTTTTTTTTTGCATTTTAGTTTTTGATGTTTTTTGATTAAAATGTAATAAAGTTTTAATTTTAGTTAAAAAAAAATTCCTAAAGCTCTATTTTCTTAGTAAATTTCCTATATTATGAATAAAGTTTTTGAATTAGATTAAAATGTTTTTTATTTATCTAATCTGATTTAACCTGAAAATTCAAATCAGATCAGATCAAGTTAAATAAAAATAAAAATTAGATTATATTATTATTAATCTAATTTAATCTTCTTAATATAAATAGATAATTTATTTGATTTGATTTGTTTAAAGCTTTAATTATGAAAAATTTAAATAGTATTTTTTTATACTACTATATTTGAAAAAAATAATTTTTAAATATATTATTAATTATTTTACTTAAATATTATAAAAGTTAAAAAGTTTGATTTTATAAATAAACTTATTTTTTTATATTAATAAAATAAAAGATACAAAAAAAATTTAATAACTTAAATTCAATCTTAATAATTTTTTATAATATTAATAAGTAACTATACTAATTTAAGAAAACTAATAAAGTTATCAATCTTTTAAAAGACAAATTATATCAAATGTTTAATAAAAAATAATAAAATTTAATATATAAAAAATGATGTTATTATTTTTATTGATTATTATTAAAATATTATATTTCTGATCTAATATCAAATTATTGCAAATAGTTTGAAAAAATAGGTGATGAAATCTAATAAAATTTTAAAAGTTTATTTAATTTCTTTAAAAAAAATATATAAGTGATTATATTTAAAGATTTATATATTGATTTAAAAAAAGTTTAGAAAAAAATTATTTCTAGAATTCTAAAAATGATTCATATAAACTTATATATTTAATTTGCATAATTATATATAATTATAAATTTTCATTATATATAATAAATAAATACTTTAAAGATATGTAAGATAATTTTGACTTAAAACTCAACTTGATTTAATTTATTAGAAACTTAAATTATTTTTTATTTTACTAAACAATATTAAGTTAAATTTATATATTATAGATTTTAACTATTCATAGTTAATAAGAAAAGATTTAAATTATATTATTTTCTTTATTAAATTACGTTAGATAAATGATTATATTCTTTACTTATATATTAATAATTTATTTAGCATATATTAAGTTATTGATAATTATTTAATTATTATTTTTAATTTAATAATACTTTAAAAATATCTTTATAGAATTTAAAAAAATTAAAATTAAATTTTAAAAAAAAATAAATAATATTGAATTATTAAATTATTAAAACTAGAATAATTAATTAATGAGTTTTAATATATAAAATAACTTTCTTAAAATCTTTTTTATTATATTATATAAAAATAATATATATTATTTATTTTATATAACTCTTTTTGAATTGATTTTACTTATAGGAATATTATATTTACAAAGTAAATCAGAGAATTTATATATTTATATTAAGTTATAAGCTTTATATATATTACCTATTTTAATAGATAATTATACAAATTAGATTAAGTTTTATATATAAATTAAAAATATAAAACCTAATATAAATAAACTAATATTTTTTTATAAAAAATTTGAATACTTTATATAGTAATATAATAAAATAATATAATACTAAAAATTTAGTTAAAAGAAATTTATATGATTATTTATAATAATTAGAGATTAACTATAAATTTTCTTAAACAATCATAATTTAAATTTTTATAGTAATTATATATACTTTAAATTCATCTGTAAATACTTTATTTTAGAATAAGATAATATTATTTAGATCATCAATATTATTTTCAAATTTTTATAATATATAATCCTTATTAAGTAAATATATATATATTAGTTAAATAAGAGTAAATAGGTTGTTTTGATATTTAATAAAAAATTAATAAATTTTATTTAAAAGTATTAATAGCTATTAGTTATATATTTTATGTTTTAGAATCCCTATTATATTATTATAAATAAAAAATCATTTCTGATTTCTCTAAAATATTTAGCATTTTAATTTTTAAAATTATATAAGTTATTAATTAATCCTTGTTTTTTTTAATCAATTAATTAATTATATAATTTTTTTTTTAATCTTAAAAAAAAATTTTTGTCTAAAATCTAATTAATTATTTTTTGATTTATTTCAATTATTAAATTTATATTTTATTTTAATTTATTGTCTAATTATACTACTATTAAGATTAAAAATGATTTATCATTTTATTTTATTTATATTAATTTAACATAAATTATACAATTTTTTTTGTTAATAGAATATGAATTACATTTAATTTTAATATTTTTTATATTTAATATTCTTTTTAAATTTGTTGCATTTATTTTGTGATATTATATAATTTTTTATTTTTAAGATCTTATTTCTTAAATATAATTAAATTTGATTTGCTATTTTAATATAAAATAATATTCATATTTCATATTTTAATTTTAGATCAATTGCATAAATATTATAAGTCATATAAATTTAAATTAGTAATTATTTGATGGTTTTTGATTAATCTTTCCTATTATAAAAATTATAAAAATTTTTAGTATATTTTAAAAAAAAATTAATAAATTTTAAAATAATCTGAAATTAAATACCTTTATAATAAAAAAGAGGTATTTAATTTTTAGATCTATATGATAAATAAATAAATTAGTTAAAACATAATATAATATAATAAATAATACTTTATAAAATATTTGCTTATTTTATTTACCAGGTTCATTAAAATTAATATTGTTAATTTATATAATTTATAATTATTTTTATTTTATTTTAATTTTAATAATAATTAAAAATTAAAAAATGTATTAGTATAGATATTATTAACATAAAAATATTATTTTATTTTATAAATAAATTATATACTTATATAATTAAAATAAAATTTAGTAAATATTGTAAAATTAACTAAAATTCTTAAAATTATATAATTGATACTACTATTAAGAATATTAAATTTAAGTATAGGATTCAAAATTAAAAAAGTGTAAATAATATTTTTTTAATTTAAATTTATATACTTTAGATTTAATAAAATAAAATTAAAAGCTTCTTTATTTGAAGTTTTAAAATAAATCTATATAAAAAGATTCAAAGAGCTAAGACTGTTTATAACTGATTAAAATTATTAATTTTATAATAAAATTACGGATTTAAGAAAAAGTTATACTTAAAAAAAGTTATTATTATATTAGCCATTTATAAATTAATAAAATTATTCATAAAATAATATTTTTTTAATAAGTTGAAAACATTCGCGTCAAAGGTTCTTGGCACTCAACGTTAAACTTAGAAATTCCTACGATAATACCGTTACTAACGTTTCATGACCCACATTTTCAATAATTCAGCTATGTCACAAGAACAAATCGATTTCTATGGAACTTTTATTAGTTGATAACTCGAATTCTTGTTTAAATTGTTAAGGTCTATTCTCTGATATCAATGTTCTATTGATCAAGAAGACTGAAGCGGTATCAGAGCAGGTCATAGGTACAAAAGTAAATGAGAAGAGACAGACAGATGTCGCATTAATTACAAGCAGAAGTCCAATAACAACAAATTTAAGAGGGATAGGCTATATATATACGAGAAAAAAATACATCGATAATTAGTTTTAAAGGTAGGACCAAGTGTTATGTATAATTATGTCATGCATCAATCTCCTGAATCGTCGGGAATTTTATCCAAATATTATTAACTATATTTGTAGAACAAGTGAAAAAATTTTTTTTTTTAGAATCAATCAAAATCAATCAGATTGCATAATTTAGCTAATTGGTATTTGGATGCATTTTGTGACAAAAAGAAAGTTATCATCCAGAGCCTAAAGTTTGTACCGGTCCGCCTACACGGTATTGCCAACCCAAGAACTTCTCTGTGTTCATTTTGCTCATTTTTGATCAATTTTATAACACCTAAAAATTTTATGGGTAAACCGAAAATGAAGCACCAGGTTGTTAAAATTTTTGTCACCCCCCTTAGAAACTTTTTTCATATTTTGAAGACCAAATGTTTATTATTATTTATACGTTGATTTAATATTTTTTTTTTTAGTAATGCAGTAAACATGTGGTAATATAAAATTTATAACTTCTTTAAACATGTCAGTAGGTATAGGTATCGAATGCTCATTCGAAGAATGTAAAGGAAATCGATTTTGTTTTCCCCCAAAAAAAATCGTGTAAATGGGCCCAGTTGATTAAAGTTTTTCTTTTTTTTACATAATCTTCCTTCTTATTGAATTCTTTCATTGTACCTTTTCCAATTTTAAAAGAATCTAACTATAATAAAGGACATGAAAGATTTTTTATCTGACGCCTACATTTGCTTTTGAGAAATTTTCATTTACAAATCAGGTATGTGCATGGTCATGCAATTTATAAATAAATGCTTTAAATACAAAGACTTGCTCTATTATTACAAACCTTTTTTTCCATTTTTTTTTTTAAAATAATTGGCATCCTTTCTAATAAATTTTTTTTTTTCAAAAACGTAAAATAAATCAGAATTCTTCCTGAATCATATATACATATATTTATATATTAAAAAAAAAAAAGCGCTTTAAAATCAACAATGTCGATAATGTCGATAATTGACAAATGGTTCACAAGAAGGGTAATTTCGTCTGCGCCATTTTAGTATAAAAAAAAAAACCTATTTATTTACATCATTATTTTATTCTAGTTGGCCAAAATAAACGAATCGATATGGACAAGGTTATTTATTTTAACATCACTCATGCAAACTATATTAGTTATAGTATTAGAAACTCGGGTATTTGAACGAAATAATTCGATAAGATTATATGTTAAGAGTTTTCAAAACACCGGTGATTTAACATGTAAATTTGATTCTGCTGACCAACGAATGTTACGTATCGAACAAGAAAATTTTATTTTTATAATTTTTCAGCTTTATCAATTGTGGTTTTGTTTTAATGCGGTAAGGTATTAATTTTGAAGGTATTTCTTTAAAAAAAAAAAAAAAAATTTTAAAGTTTTTTTTTTTATTTATATTTTATATACGTAGATTTTTGCACAAAATACGATACAACTTATCGCAATAACGATTGTGAACACTATTTGTTCAGTATATAGTTTTGTATGCATTTATTTTATTTATGGTGTTTATATGACTCGACGAAGCAAATAACTTAAAAATTTAAATCGTCTTCAGGTTCAAATTGCGGAGGTTAAAATTTGGTACACAGACTTGAACAATTCCTGTTCACAAAAGTTCACAAAACAAACAAACACAAGGTTATACGATTTACCTTTAATAATAACTCTAGTTACATTTTTATTACTTATGGGATTTCTTGCATTTAAATTATATCAACAATTTGGATGGAAAATTTATAAAAAGATCGGTGGAAGTCTCAAAATACAAAGTAACAAAAAAATTTTTTTTTTTCTTTAATTTTTGATATTTTATAAAAAACTGAAAACGTAACTTGTTTAATTAGCGATATACCGAAGACAACTCATTCTTGTGATCTTACTTAAAGTTGATCTGATCTTTCTTCTATTATTTGCCATTGAATCCTGGATGACATTCGCCTTGGAGACTAAAACAAGCCAACTAGAACATCTTTATTATGTTCCAAGAATAATTTATTATTTTCATAGGATTGCAACATTTTTAATTATTATCTTGGAGATTATTGCATATCGAAGTGTAAGTATTCAAATTTTATTTATATGATTGATATTCAAAGTTTTTAATTTTTCCCCTCATTTGTTTACAGATAAAAAATGAATGTAGATGTGGAATGTTGATATTCATATTTCTATGGATGGCAGTGATAGCTAATTTAATCTTGGTATTAATATTTTCCATTCGAACTGCAGAAGACAGTTGGTATTTCCTCATAGTTTTTGGTGAGTTTTTTCTTTTTTTAAAACCGTATATTCTTTCCTTTGCGCTTATTGAACTTTCAATTAATTTCTTTCTTTTTTTTTTTTTCACTCAATTAGTTAGTGTTTCCATCGTAATATCAACTGTAAGTATTAATCTATTATTTCATTGCCGTGAGAGTTTTGTTTGTTTAATAATTTATTTATTTTTTTTTTAAACAAAAAAGATCACCTGGGTGTATAGCATACTTGTTACCAAAGACTTTGGGAGCGGGTTAAAAGAAATTCGTAAGTGTTAACAAATTTTGATAGGCATTTAAGCACCTTAAGGTACAAACAAAACTTTATGTCTTCATTAATTTTTTCTTTATATTTATTATATAGTAATACAATACAAAGAAAAATCCTCCCAGGTTACAATAGATGATGGATCCGAATCGCCGAGACGTATTTCTATTGATTAGAAATCTCTTAAATTTGTAATATAAATGTTATGTGGTTTTTTATACATTTTCGGCTTGTCTAATAGATTCCATAATAGTTAAAGAATGAACTAATTTACATAGAGGAAAAAGATAATTTATAATCATGATTTATTATTATAAACATGACCTTTTTCTCCGCAAAGAAGATAAAAGAGGCGTTTTAAAAAAAAATAATCATATAGAATATGAGTTTGGTCTACAATTCTTAATACTCCGCACTTTAAGCACGATTAAACTATTTTTTTTTCAAAATAAACTCTTTAAAAAGTCTAATTATCTTTTTCAAATAAATAAATAAAAAAGGCTTATCCTCTTTTTTTATTTTTCATTCAAACTGCTTTATTCACCTTTCAAATTACAAAGAAAGAAAACTTAAAAAATGACAAATGCTATACAAGAATCTTCTTCCAAAGAAACTCCAAAGGTTGCGAATAAAGCTACCTCAAGAATTACCCATAGAATGGTCACTACAAGAACCGCCGCAAAACACGCTTCAGAAGTACCTCGAGAAACTTTGAACGAGGGACAACCTGCAGCAACTTTGTTGAATCCAAAATGCTGTTACGCAGAGAAAAATCAGCATTGTTGTTATTGTTCTCGTTGCCGTTATTACGGCATGTGCTACTATTGTGGCGTTCAGTATTGCACCTATTGTCGATATTGCTACTTCTGTTGTCGAGGTTTCTACGGATCTGTGTGTCAATGCAATCATTGTTTTCGATACGAAAATAACGCGACTCCCGAAAGGTATGATCGATTGACGTTTTGCTAAACCACGACCGTTTACATTAATCTTTACAGTGGCTATTGAATTAGAGCTCGATTACTATTTGGAATAATTCAAAACGTACAATCCAAGGAAGGAACGATTGTTACTCCGTACAAAGTTGTTCCTAATGAAGTAAAGAGTTTTTTTGTGTGTAGGTTCTTTTAATCGATTTTTTTTTTTTTACAAATTCTATTATTCCTTTTTAGGATATGGAAGATCTTTGTCATCGTCTTGTGATTGATTGACGCTTACCATTTGACCACGTTTTCTTCCAAATTCCTATCGATTAATGATTTTTTACGTTCTTCTTGTACCAAAATCTTTTTAAATTAATAAATATGATAGACAGGTTTTAAGAAGCATGATTCGATACGAAACAGTAAAAACCAAGTTATCCCAAGATGTTCAACAATTTCTCGCCAAGTTAAGGAATTCTTTTCAAATTTGTACAACCGTAAACATAACCATATCATTATTATAAGCAACCAAATTTTACCAAAAAAATCAAACAATAAATGGCTTTTTTAAAAATTTAAATATATACACATATATATAATGCATGTACATAATAATAAATAAACACCTAAATAAATAAATAAAAAAATTTTTTTTTTTTAACGAATCACCTCGACACTTTAATAAGTTTATTTTTCCATGTCAGAGTGAAATTCGACATGAAGTTGTTTGTCTTGTTGTAATTTGTTCCAAGTTTCATAGGTAATGTTTGTGGTCCCTTTGATATTTAACAACTTCAAATGATTTTTCGAATGTTTCAATATAATATCAACATGATCATCCTCAATGCAGTCGCAAAACTTTAATTTAAGTGTTTCAAGGTTCGCACGAGATTCCTGAAAGAATTTATCAAGGGATTCATGATGAAATGACCATACCATAAGGATTTCCAACCCGCGTAGGGAAGGTGGTAAATGTTTACCAAATCTTGGAAGGAAAGCGTCAACATTCTCAGAGGTGTTGACACCTGTTCCGGTGTCTATGACTAATTTTTCTAATCTTGGATTTGAAGTTAAAGTCGGTAAGAGCAATGGTAATAGATCATGATTTGGTATCATGTGAGTCGAGAATTCTACCAAATGTTTACAATTTTGAGAAATTACTTGTAGCAAATCATTCACTTCATGAGCTTTAATCTCTTTCGCCCTCATATCTAGGACGGTCAATCCATCATTTGCTTGCAAGGTCATGAAAGTTAATAAAGAGATTGGAACCTTTGACCCGTATACACTCAAATTGGTCAAGTTAGAGAGTCCCCTCATGTCACCTTCAATATCAACACCACCGACACCACCGACGAAGACAACCTTGTCCCTAATCCATTCACTAAATTTCAGGGGATGATTGGATAAATTACAATTTTCAAATTTTAATGTGCCCAATTTTTGAAGGTTCCTAATGGATAATATGATATCATTATTATAAAATTCCACGTATCTAAAGATTAATTTTTCAAGGGAACGATGAATTTCATCCGTCAACTCCAATATACCCAACACACCCTGTTCACCCAAACCGCCACTTTTGACGTTCTCGATGATCAAATGTTTCAGATTTTGTTGTGTTTGAATTAAAGAGCGTAAATTCTGTAAATTGGTCATCTCGATTGAAGGTTGTTTAAGGTGCTTATAAAGGGAGATCTTATAAAGGGAGATACGAATCTTTTCAATTCGTTTGGAAATCATTGAACAGATAGACAAAAGTTTTGGATTAAAATCACCGGTACAATCCAACACCTTCAATTGTTCAAAACAATCCTTGGCATTCTTACCAATCAATAAATTTAAATTAATATCATACCAAGAAATGGACCCGTAAATATTATTTATTGTGAAAATTAAATGTGTTATCTTTGGGGAATTTTTAACGAAATGTTGTAAAAATATATTTATAAATGGTAATGTTTGTATCATGAAATCAACATGCGTGAAGCATGCCCATCTCGTTATACAAAAACTTGCTTGCAACACATCCAATTCTCTTAAGAATGTAACGTAATTGAATATTGAATTGCTTGGTATCTTGTCCTCGAGATATCCCAACAAGTTATTTATGTAAATACGTTCATTACTTGAAAATCCTGCACAATAAACATCTATGAGACGTATGGACAATATTTCTGGTGTGTATTGATGCAGAAAGCTGAATGGTCGTTTCCAAAGAAGTGGAACCGCAAATCGACACCAATCTCGATTTACAAGCGTACAACTATATAACGTTGATAAATCATCAGAGTGAAATGCAAGGATTCTAGAAAGGCAAAGTGATGGTAGGTCTTGCGCCATGTGTGTTATTTTTTTTTTTATTTATTTATTTTTTTTAATTTTTTTTATTTATAAAAAAAAAAAATTGGAGGAAATGGTTCATGAAGGGAAAAAGAAAGGAAATAAAAAAAAATATTTTGAACCAATAAAAGCGGGGGTAAATTAACAAAAAAAACTGGGTTCTTGTGGTACAAATTACCAAAAAGTATGATCTAATTTGTTTAAAGTTAATGTTTGTAACAAAAATGAAACAACGAACTTGATGACGTGTTGAAGATCAATTGAACCTGATATAAAAATGCTTTTAAAAAAAAAACAATATAATGATGCCGAAAATACGTATTTGTATTTTTTTGACCCCAAATTTTTTATTATAAATAAATATATTGTTATTGTTTTTTTAACAGATTTTTATTATTATTTTTTTTTTTTTTTTTTACTTAAAAAATCTTTCAAATCTTTTTTTTTTTTTTTTTTTTTTTTACTTTCTAACTGCAAAGCCTCTTCATTGCTGATCAAAACTTTTGAGTAAAAAAAAATTTTTTTTAAAATAAAATAAAATAAAAATACAAAGGTAAGAAATTTAATTAATATAATTATCTCTTTTTTATCATAAAGATTGAAACAAGATAAGGACATCCAAAGGAAGGGGACAAAAAATAAAAGGAAAAGGAAGGAAGGTAGCTACCTAAAATGAAAAACTCTAACCGAATTAAAATTACCAAGATAAAAAGATACTAATAATATAACTTGTTGCCAAATAAAACCTGTGATGATTCTCATGTTTATTTTAAATTTTTTTTCCATTTTTTTTTTTTTCTTTCTTTTTGATCAACCAAGGGTCATAATTCGTTAAAATAATTAATTTTATAAATTTCTAGCAATATTATTATCCTCCCTCGTTTAATTCACACTGATATAATGAACAACGAACGAACACCTTCGAAAAGCAACGGAAAGATTTCATCATTACTTAACGAAGATGAACATCACCCGGCCACTACCTCCAACGGTCAAAACAAGAAGGAGATAACAAAGACCAACAGCAATGGAAAAGCAACTCCTAGAATTAGAAATGAAGTCAACATTTTTAAATCCCCTACCCCAAAATCTAATAGCACTTCAATTGTCAACACCAAAAAGACCAAGAAGACGACTTCCAAGACCGCAACCGTTTCAAAAGACAAACCTGCCAAAAATTCACGTAAGAGACCACTCTCACCCACGGATTCAGAAGGAGGGAGAGAAGCCTCACAAGAACCTGAAAAATGCCAACATCCTAAGCATGATGAATACGCTCAAGATAGTCTTCCTCCAGTCAACAAACGAGCTAAGCTCGATAAGCCACCAAAATTGGTTGGCATGCCTAAGCGATTAGAAGGTGTATTGAACATAGATCGTGGTACTAAAATGTGTAGTCGATGTATCAATCAAACTGATAGAGATCCACAGGTACAGTATAATTAGTAATACAAACATTTAATATAAACATTTACCCTTTGCTTCGTGGATGGATATAATTTTTCATAAAATCTTTCAACTTCCTATAGTATACTTCTCACAAGAAATATGTCTCTCGTAAATCCGTCTACAAGAAAAACGAACGTGCAAGACTCAAAATCGATATGAATGGCGCAACCGAATAAATAACCACATGACTTTGGTTGATCCCAAATTTAGTAGGATATGAAGATTCATTAGACAAAGATTAAAAAAAATTTTTTTTTTCTCTTGAAATGGACGGAAGAAAACAAAATATAAATTTTGACGTTCTTTTAAATACTAATCCTAATCTTTCAATTTTCATATTATAATTTATATATATAGTAGTACATTTAATATTTTAGAATTTATCAAATATCCTTTTCACTTTTTCATTTTTTTTTTTTTTTTTTTCACACTTGTTTCGCTACAATAAAATTACTTACAAAATATAAAAGTACGACAAAGAAGATATTTGCGTTTTATTGTTTCTTTAAGAATACCGTAATTAAATTAATTAATTAAGTATTATCTAATTTGTGTGCCGAAATCCAACATTACGATAATCCCTTTTATAATTCATCATCACATCATCACATCCCATCTCAACAATAGAAAAATTCAACCTTTGTATTGAATGAAACTCTATTTTCATTTAGAATTTAGTTTATATTGAGAAGAATTTAGAAGAAGAAAAAGAAAAGCCGAATCTGTATTTATTTAAACGTGGCGCAGTACTATGTGAGATTGCCTTATTAAGGTTCATTCATTGTATGGACTGTGTACCCTTTTCTTTGTATTGTATGATTTGGGCAATCCAATACGTAATCGATTTGTGGCGCAGATTGACATCTTTGTTTCTCCCACTCTTTGCCACAAAACGGACAACGAACCAAAACCAAAACAGAGCCGCGAATAAGCGTTAGTCGATATTTAGTGTTGATCCACCAATAATTAAAAATTCTTTCTCTTAATTTTCCGATTGGTTCGTTTTATTTATTATTTACTTTGAGAGAATTTCTTTGTAAGAGCACGTGATTATCGAGGGTGTAAAATTGTAGGGTGAAGAACAAAAAAGTACCCCTTTTGGTATTGATATTATTTCAAGTACAAAATCGCTACGACGTGCGTAAATCAGATTTGACGAGATTCTTCCTGCGATTTTTATTGTAAGGCTATAATGATGGGAGTGGTTTGTAGTTTGGAATGGCAACTCGATTCGGTGAAATTGATACGACTCAAGATTGAATTACGGGACAGGAGCTAGAGGGACACTTCCTCGAGAAATGTATGCAGGTTACCATATGGGAAAAATTAAAAAAAGAAATGAAAGAAGGTGACGATGTACTGCGGCGCTTAAAATCAAGATATCAAACCTGATTTTCTTTAGGTCGATCAATCGATAAGCAAAATCATATGAAATTTCGACATCTCGACATTTTTTTCCCTCCCCCTTTTTTTCCAAAATGAAATAAAGTATAAAAAAGCTTATCAAAATTAATGAATGTACTTACGTAAGGAAAATTTTATGCCTATCTTAAAAGAATGTGTGTACTTATCTTACAGACAATATGATGACTTCTTATCAAAACAAATTGACGTAATATTTTAAGATATATTAGAGATAACGTTAAATGTATATATTTTTGATATAAATTTGATTATGATTCGCGCGATTTTGGATTCCATAACTCTTACTTTCTTTCGTTCATTAGTATCCTTTTATCTTTTAGTTACGCGTATCTTTACAAAATTATATTCTTTTTTTCCACGTTCAATAACTTCCTCCTCTTGTAATATAACCTCCCTTACTTTTCTTCACCATTTCTTCTTGATTACTCGTCATACACGATGTCATATGTTATACCTGAAACTCCAAAACGGCGGCCCGAGTTTTTTCATGTTGTCCTATTATTCGTAGCAACTATAATTTTATCGTTCATTCTTGTGGATCCAATTTATCCATTCCCCGAATCTGTTATATCTGGAGATCCTTGGTGGAGATATGATCCCGACCCCTTAATTGTTATGGTCACTGTTATAGATGAATCAAGTAAAGACGGAAATAATAAGGATGTGAATAATTTAACATCTAGTGATTACTTTAAGGAAATCGGTATTAAGAATAAAATTATTTATGCTGATAAGTATGGATATGAATTGGTTATTAAAGGAGTTAATCAAAATGAGGCAAATTGAAAATTTTCAAATTGTTATTTTTTTTTTATTGCGTAAATCTTTTGTTTTTAAAATAATTAATAAAAATATTCCCCACCCTTCTTTTTTGAAGTCCTGGGAAAATATACCTACATTATTGGAAACCATGAAGGAATATCCAAAATCTGATTGGATATGGTGGATGAATTCGGTAGGTAAAATTCGAGGGATCTATCTTGCAAGATACACCTTGTTAACACTCTTCTTCTCGTTAGAATATATTTATCTCAAATTATTCGATCAGTCTTTCGTCGAATGTATTACGAAATGTCACACAAGCCTCATTTGCGGATAGGCAAATGTTGATTGGATACGACTGTCATGGCCTTAGCACTACATCATTTCTTATACGTAATTCTCCCTGGGCTAGAGATTTTTTGGAAACTTTGCATAATTCACTATTATTCAAGGATTTTGAAGATGAAGAAACCGCTATGCAAATGTTGATTGATTTTGAAGCTATTGAAGTTGGTTCAAAGATTTCATATGTTCCTTTGGTAAGTTGTAATTTTTTTTTTTATTACGGTACCCTTTAGATGCTAAAACGTTAACGTGAGTTTTTTTTCTTTTTATTATCGACAGCGAACTTTGAACGCTTTACCGTTTAATCATAATTGTGGCAATGATGAGAAGTATGTATGGCATAAGGATGATTTTGTCGTGAATTTTACTGGATGTGAGGAAGCCAAGGAAGATTGTGAAAAACGATTCGAAGAGATTTTGTTACGCACAAAGCCGGTAAAAAAAAGTAACTCTTGAGGGAAATTAACTTGTTGTTTTCAATTTGGTGATATCAATGTGCTTTTTCTTCTTTTTAAAAATATATATATTTATTCATTTATTTATTTATATATATTTACATATTAAAAATAAAAAGATTTGTATAAAATATATTGTAAAGAATTTTTTTTTTCATATATATTTTATTAAAATGTTTATATAAAAATTATTCAACTTTCTGGAGAGAGAATTTTTTTTAATTGCATGTGCTATTGTTGGAAAAACCTTTTTTTAAAAACCAAGGTCTTTCACGTGGTAATACAAATTATGAAATGCTTTAGGTTGTGGAACAATTGTCATTACAGGCAGGCTCCAAATTAGGTTATATATTATATGTCATTAAATTTTTTTTCCCTCGTTTTTTTTTTCTTTTTCTTTTCTGTTTTTCGATATGCTATCTTCTGAATTTTATTCAAGTCTTTCAAGGGATTTAACAAGTTTATTGACAGATTCGTCAGATTATAATATGATCATCAATGTGGGAGAGGAGCCTAATGTGAAGCGGTATCATGTACACTCGAATATTTTAAGGGTTCGAAGTAAATATTTTTCTAAAGCCGTTAGTGCGGATTGGGTTAAAAAGAAGGATGGAATCATTTTATATGAGAAACCGAATATCGAGAGCGATGTTTTCGATATTATACTAAGGTGAATAGAATTTTTACGGTATAATCTTTGGGTGGAAATTTTTTAAAATTTAAAAAATTATTAATTTTTTTTTTTCTTCCTGGGAAATATAAATATATACACTAGTTACATTTATGGGGGGAGGATCAATTTCACTGATGCCACAAGTTCATGGAAGATATTTGATTGTTTAAAAGCGGCTGATGAATTATGCCTGGAAGAGTTTTTGGAGTACGCACAGGATTACCTGTTGGAGAATCGTAAGGAATGGTTAAAAGACAATTTATCTATCATGTATCAAGACACATTTCCACCAAGTTCTTTGACAAAGATACAAGGATATTGTATAAATCAAATTCGAAAATATCCTTTCATGCTCTTTAATTCAAAAGAATTCGTTGACATACATGAGGAATGTTTGAGGGTGTTGGTACAAGATGATTACCTAGAGATTAATGAATTGGAATTATTCGAAAAATTAATTGAATGGGGTGTGGCCAGGACGAGGGATTTAAATCAAACGGACAATCAAACAATTAATGAAAAGAATTTTGACTTATTATCATCAACTCTTGATAAATTAATCAAACATATCAGGTTTCATAACATGGATAGTGAGGGATTTTATTCAAGGGTCGAACCATTGAAATCGGTTCTGGGGACGAAATTTTATGATGAGATGAAAGTTTATCATAATAAATCCAGGATAAAAGATGAAGGGACCTCGAACGGTGTTTCCACTTCTCCCATACCGAAATCAAATAATTTGTTACCACATCGTGGGGCGATAATATCAAAAATAATGAACTTGGAACAAGGGGCGATAATTTCAAGTTGGATTGATAGGAAGGATTTACCATCAGATGGTAATTACAATGATTTCACACCGGAATATTATACTATAAAGAATATTCCCTATAATTTCAAATTATTATTAAGAGGTAGTAGAGATGATTTTTCCGCAAACACATTTCATAAGAAAGTGGGAAAATGTAGAAGTACCATTACCTTATTTAAGTTGAAGAATTTCGAGGATTTTTTTATCGGTGGATATAATCCTGATGAGTGGGATTCTCCTTTTTGGCCACAATTTAAAGAGTGTGAAAATGCGTTCTTATTTAGCTTTTCTTTAGGAATCGGTCATGATATGAGTAGAACCAATCGTCAGGGGAGGATCGCAAGACCGACAATTGAAGAGAGAGGAAATGCTTTAAACATGTGGAAAAGTAGCGGTCCAAGTTTTGGAAAATTTGATATTTTAATGCAAAATGGTGGCATTAGGCTCAAACATAAGAGTTTTGTTCCAAACATCATACCTTTAAAAGACGGTGAGACTTTTAAGATTGAAGATTATGAGGTTTTTGAGGTCACTCAAAAAGTTGAAAATATCGCAGATAGGAGAGAGAGAGAGAATGGGGAGATTGCTGTCGAAATCCAATCATAACTAGGTATTTATTTTAAATTAATTTTTTGAACGCTAAAATTTAAAAATAATCATTTGAGAAGAATTATTTGAAAAATAATCATAAAGGGTTATTTGAACACTTTAATAATAATAATAATAATAATAATAATAATAAAATAATGGGTAAAGATTTTTTTTTTCAAACCTTGAATTTTTCAATTCCCAAGTTAAACGTAATTGCTTTTAAGAAATCGATAAATCGATCGAGAATATAAACCGAGTTATTTTATTTCATTTTTTATACCAAATCTATCATCTATACACAAATTTGTCAACTAGCTTCAAAACACGTGAATCTTGCGCAGCAAATTATTTGTTCCAGGAATAATTTATAATTGTTTAAACTATAAGTTAACATAATAATTCCAAAAACATGCGTACAAATATCTTAAAATATCTTTTTGAATAAAATTTTTCATTCCCTTCATTTGGATATTTGAATTTGTTGCTTTGATATAAAAAAGAAAGGTAGGTACGAAATTTTTGATTGGCTAATTTTTAGAAGAATATTACTTCCAAGTTAATGAATTGAAGCTAGCGTAATTGAGATTTTTTCCAAATGGATCATAAGATCAATTAGATAATAAAATAATTAGAAAATAAAAGATTTTTAGAATTTAATAAGTACTTTTAATTCAAAGGGCGACGAGTCTCCATATGTTGATCCATACCATAAATAGCTTTAAATAAAAAAACATTGATCGCGTTCACTAATAGGGAAGAATAAGCAACGGTTTTCTTATGGAAATGTTTTCCGTATGAATATTCATTAAATTAACCTCTAAAGAAAGACAATAAGCCTATTAATGACAAATGAAGTAATCGAAAGCAATGATGATGATATCAAAGAATGCAATTATCTTGATAAACAATATTCTTTATCATGCAGTTATTACAGATTGCATTGCAAATTCAAGTGGGCATGGATTTAGCAGGGTGGAACGGAAAATGTACAATAATTTAATTTAATTTGTATTTAAAAGACGAATATTTAATGAAGTATTAAATATCAAACAAGTAGGACGTTCCAAGTATGATTTAAAGCCAAACATACTTTCAATGTGTAGCGTACACGCATTAACATCCTAGTACAGGAATATACAAATAGTAGAATATTGATGAAGAGATTACATCTTGTGAAGGTTGCGAACAAAAAAATATTAACATACCAAAGTGCTGGTAAAAAATAAAATAGAAAATATAAATGGTAAAGTTAAAAAGTAATTCGTTGGGAAAAAGAAAATTTATTTTTTTGAAAGATGATGAACATAATGGAAATTCTGAGAAGTATGGCTAACGTTGTCAACAGCAAATAATTAGAAGGATGTTTCAAATCATGATTAAGGCACGTCTTAGATAAAGTAAATCATAAGAGTGAGCAATGCAGGTTGAATACATGTGAGCGCACCACACAATAAATTCTCTATTTACAGGTTTTATGGATAATGTTCTCGCCAAAATTCACCAAAATACGTTTTGGCTACATAATAAAAAATATACTACTATATGGAAGTAAGAACTTCGCAGAAGTCCGAAAAAACTTATTAAATTTCATGCATGAAGATTGAGTTGATATTTTTATTGAAGTTGATAAGCAATATGATAAAATGAAAAAAGAAAAATTTAGCTAATCACATGATTGGTAAATGCCACTATATACATAAAATTTATTTTGGATATCAATGCATCTTAATCGCTAAAAACAACACCCTTCTCAATAACTCTTTTTCCGGGAGTACCAATTCCATATCCTTGAGCTTCCTTACAAGCAAATTCTTCATCTCCAAAATTAATCGCGATTTTAACTTTACCGTCTGAACCAATAGTTGGGTACCAAATATGCCTTAAACCGGCAAAAGCTATTCCTAGAAATTTACCATTCTTTGTAAAGAAAACTTCACCAGTTTTGGGCTTATATCCACAACCAATAATATCCCCTATTTTCCCCCATTCGGGACCATAATCTCTACCACCAAATTCATCATTCCAAAATTTTCTTCCATCATCAGAATGATATCCAACAGAGTTCGCATTCCAACCTGGTAACCTAAAATAAGGATAAGGTTTCGTTGAGATTCCGATCGCTATCGTGGTATTCCTTGATGCTTTACTTTGTAAAGTAATTTCAAAATAATGCATGATATCCGATTCAATCTCGTTGGAATTTGATCCAATGGTATCTGGCATAAAGAATGGATAATTCGTTTGAATCATGACATCATTATACTTGAATTCCTTATTCCCTTTACAAAATTCAATCGTTCTACCATCATTTGAAACGATTACCCTTTGTGAATTTGATACGATATCTTCAGGAATAAATTTCCAAGATTTATAACACCCTTTTGTGATAATCTTTTGAATTTCTTCAGATGTGGGTAATTTCTCAACGGGTGGATGTTTGATTGAATATGCCTTCGCATCTATGAATGAAGTTTGTGTAGCTTCATGCTTCTTACCGAAACGGTGGGGTGTTTCGGGTGCGGGAGGTACAGTGTCATAAGAGGGTGGAGAAATGTTGTTAGTTTCTCCGGTTTCTCCACCATCTGTTGAATTTTGATAAATTTTATGAGTAATTTTGCGAAACCTTTTAAACACGCCGTTTTTTGCAAGGCAGCAACAACAGAGACTTGCTATAAAGAATCCAAAAATCGATACTATTGTGAAGGTAGCTATGCAACCAGGTGTACAAATTCTTCTTCCATTTTCATATTTAAAAAACGGTGCTGAACTTCCACCACCAACGACGACAACTCCTCTTCCACCTCCATAAACGCCTCCTCCACCACCACCACCTCCACCACCTCCACCTCCTCCACCACCGCCACCACCACCACCACCGCCACCTCCTCCACCTTTACTAAGAACAATTTCTGGGAAAAGAAGGGATATGATTATGACATGTAATATCAAGAGTGTGTTATAGCAAAACTTTTGCTTCATGTTCAATTGAATTTCTTTTAAATCATGTAGAAAGCAATAATTTTTATTCTAGAATTTTTTTCTTTTTTTTTCTCCAAAAAAAAAATATTAAGAAAAGAAAAATTACAAGTTTTTTTCTACTTTATATAGATAATTTTGTGTTACATCGTTGATTATAATATTTATACATAATACAAATTAAAAATCACAATAATACATTATATCATCATAAAACGAAATTTTTTATAAATGTACAGTTATTATTAGAACGTGTCTTTATTCCGTCCAATATAGTTCAAATAACATACAGTTAGTTAATAATAATTACTGATACAAAGGAGAAATAATGGTTTATTCAATAATCAATAACAAAGAATTTAAAAAAACTGGTGATGGTGATACGTCATTCACAATGATGGTTCGCGCATGTGATTATGTGTGAATAACCTGCCTGATAACGACATCTTAGACCCACGTGAAACTCACAATTGTCCGGTTACTACGACAATAAAAGTTTCGTTGATGGCTTTAATGGGCTAATTTATTATTATGATGCAAATATTGTTAATATAAAGAAGGTAAATAAGGGATTACAAAAAAGATAATAATGTGAATTTCTTTTTATCATGTGACATTGCTAGGAAAAATTTAGAAACCGAGAATTTTTTGACTAAAATTAAGGAATTTATCACAGAACCTGATTTTCTCACATTTTTCCAGTTAATTTTATCATATTGTACGAAATTCATTTTTGGTTATGATTAGCGTTGCAATCTTTCGATTATACTTAAATTGTCTCACGTAAGACCAGTGAAAATACCAGATTTTTTTTAAAAATCGAGATTTTTAGTTCGCAGTTGGAAACCAAGAACTTTAAAATTGTTACATCGATCTTCCTGACGACTTTGTGTAACGCGCATCTTTCTTTAGGCAGATATATTTTGTCTGTTGAACCCGTTTCTAATTTTGATATTCCATAAAGTTTTCACTATCGGTAAGTTGCGTTTTACTAAATAATATATTTCTCATTGCAGTATTTTTTTTTAATAATCGTTATATTTACAGCATCGGAATCTTTCCTACTTACACAAGAACCTTTTCTATAAGAATGTTTAAAAATTTTTTCTTTTTTTTCTAACCAATCGAAATTAGCCTTGGAAAATTTATGCTTCACGTAATGTTTTTATTTGGGGAATATTAACAAAGCAGTTTTGGCGTAAAATGAGAGATTATCGAGGGGTTATAAAAAATATTATCACGTGACAGACCTACGTTTCACAACCGGATTTGTTTGCATCTAAAATTCCCAAAATGAAACTGATAAATACTTTTATAGCTTAAAATTTTCTATTTGAGCTTCTTTGTGGAATTTATTCGGAGTTCAAAAATTCCAATATACAGCCTTACAGTAGGAAGATAAGTAAATCGATGGCTAAATACAGGAATTCATTTAAACCATTAAGAATGTATAAATAATGAATAAAATTTATTTCCTTCAAAAAAAAAAAATTGTTTTTCATTGTCAATTTAACAATAATAATCCTATCAAAAATTACCCTAATAAAATTTTATTTTTTTATTTTCAAAATAAAAACAAAAATATTATGATGGCTGTTAAAAGAAGCCAATTGATTTTGATATTATTCTACACAATCAACTTTCTTATCATACAACCAAATCTTGTATTATGTGACGAGAAGAATGATAATGCTACAGACATTAGTATTTTTGGTATTAAAGTTGGTACAATCAACCACGATAACGAGCTTACCACAGGGCAAAAGATCGGTTTTAGAGTTTTAAACTGGGTGATTAGTGCGGCAATTGGTTTCGTTATACTTTTAGTATTAATGTGTTTTTTAACTTGCTTAGGTTGTTGTAATTGTTGTGGTAAATCTCAAAAGAAGTCGCGTGAGGGCATTGTATGAAAATTCAACTCAACATTCATCAAGATCCTTTTACAAAAGAACATTTATATTTCTATTATTTACCATTACCCTATTAATCTTTCAGTTATAATCTAATTCGGATGCGAAAATATGATTTATTCTTTGCTGGTTATTAGTAGAATTTATTAATGTGTTTTTTTTTTTTTTTGTATAAATATTTAAATTTTGGCGGAATGAACTTTAATAAAATATTTGTAAATTTGTGGGGTGATAAATACAAATGAATTATGTTATCATACTCTGAAAAAAAAAAAAAAATTTTAATGTAAAATTATAAATTTCTTGGTTAATCGATTTATTGTGACACCAACAATCATCAAATTTTGAGGACACGTCTCCTAAATTCCATTTGAGGTTGTCCAATGCTGAAACCTCCTTTTGACAAATCTTTATATCAAATTATGAAATTTTTTTAATACGTCGTTGTATTAAAATTGTCTGCATAATATTTTAACAATAATTCAATGATCCATGGTACCCGTAAAATCTTCTCAGTTGATAATCTATAAAGCGGTAGTATGTACAGTTTTTCACTTCCAATAAATTATTTTATTCATTCGTAATTTTCGTGAGCTAGTCGATTTCACATTTTGAATCGGTTATTCTAAATTAATAAATGGGAGGAAACTCTAAAAATATTTTGTTTTGAGTTAAATGTTAAATCTGAACTTATTTTACTAAAACTATCATATTTCGCATATAAAGTTTTTTGTAGTTTCGTTTCTTTCTACTGCAAAACGCTCGAATAATTTGAGCATATACTACTATCTATTATTAGTTGATGGCCACTTTCAGATCTTCGAACGGAGATTTCATAATAATTCTCAAGGTGCCTTCTTCATATGAGGATGCAAGATTATAGGTTGTGTGAATTAACCTTCATATTCGGCATCTTCTTGTCTCCGAGAAAAACAATTTCCTTCTACGATGTTTTACACCTAAAGAATAAAATAATTCGGGACGAAATGAGTATTTGGAAAAAAGATAAGTTGTAGCGATATGATGATCCCGAGAACACATCCCAATTCTATCCCAATATGACCGACAAGCTGTTGGCTTTAATTCTTAGCGGAGGCTTCGAGGACTTCTTTCCATATATCATGAATCGAACAAAGGAGTTTCATAGAATTGGACGCCTTGTTTAAAAAAAATATTCCAATAATGAACGTTAAATGCAACCTGTGCGAGTTCTACTGGCGAAAAAAAAATAATTACTACGGTTATTATTATTATTATTATTATTATTATAATTGCAAATAAAGGAGAAAATGTTTATTTTATTGTAGTGAAAACACGAAAAAAATGTAACACAAATATTGATTATTAAAAGATAACGTTATAATATATAAATAAAAAAAAGTTTTTTAAAAATCAATTAAGCTTATCAACCCTATATAATAACACCCACTAAAATAAATGACCGGAAATTTCATCACATGATATGACGATCAATTATTTGATCAACAAAAATAATTAATTAATTTCTGTTAATCAAAATTTAAGAATATAATTGCTAGTAATTAATGTGTTCACCTTTAACTCTAATAATATCTTTAATACATCTGGATATACTTAAATTAAATTATATAATCTTTTTTATACTTATATTTGCCTAATCTTCTTGTATAACTAATTAATTCCTGTTATAATATTAGTAAAGATTTTCTCTTTTATATTTGATGATCCAAATAGTTTCATAAATTTTCAATTGGATTTAAGTCAGAACTTTGTGATATCCAATCTAAAAGTAAAATATTATGAGTTTTATTTACCAAATTATAAATAATAATATAAGATACAGAATTAAATCTTATTAAAATATTAAATTTGAATTATTACAAACTATGATACTAAAAATGATTTGTAAAAACATTAAAATATATATCAAATTCTTATTTTTATTAACTATTACTAACAGCCTAACTTCATATAACTAAAATAATCCTAAAATATGATTGATCCTCCATTAAACTTAACAGTAAATTTAATATAATATTTATTATAAGCTTCTCTTATTCTTTACTATATTTTTACTCATTTATCTGATTTAAATAATATAAATCTGAATTAATCTGACTATATATTTTTTTATAATAATTTATTATAAACTTTGCTATTAATCGCCAATAATAATCATCACTAATGTCACAAATTTTCTTTTTAGACATTTATGTAATCTTATTTGAATTTTTCTAAAAATAAATTTCTTTTTTGAAATTATAAAATATTACTTAATCTTTTAAAAAAGATATTTAGTTAATATTATAGTTACAATTATAAATTTTGATCAAAATTAAGAATGTGATGAATAACACATAACAAATATAATTTTATACTCGAAAATATTTTAAGTTCTCAGAATATATAGTAAAAATAAATATGAAAAATATAATGCAAGGTGATAAATTATTTATTATAAAAAAATCATATAATATCAGTGATGATTACCACTAGTAATACAAAATAATTTTCATTTATTATTATTAAAAAGTAAATATTAAAAATAAATAATATTTTTGAATCTTTAATATAAATGAAATAGACTTAAATTATTCATTTTTATTATTTATTTGTTAATTTTTTTCTGATCTTTTTTGATCAAAAAGAATTAAAAAATAAATATATTATCACCAAATTTATTTTCAGTTATCTTAATATCTAAGTTGAAAGGTTACAGCAGTTAATTCTAAATATTAAAGTTTCTGACCTTAGGAATTTTTTCTAAATCCTACAGGTATCTGTTATATTTAAATCAACTCAACAATTTATTATATCTTAAAATTTAAGATATAATAAGTTGAACTCATAATAATGAACTCAATAGCAAGTTAATATAAAGTATCATAACAAATTCTAGATAAAGGATAACGTTAAAGAGAAAAATAATTTATGTAAATTTAAATTGATTCCTTTATTGATATCTTAAAACTTGCAGAAGAGTTTATAAATTTACAACCAAATTAATTTACAACTTAAGTAAAAAGCTATTCTATTTATACAAAATGAATTTACTACAGCTAACTACTTATTATACTATAAATAATTAAATATAGATATATGTTCTAATAAAAATATACTTAAATATAATTAAATAATAAAATAATATAAACTATAAAAATAATAAAAAAAAATAAAATAAATTACAGATATTAAAAGAATTACAAACAAACTAGATTAAATAGAATAAATAAATTATACAGAAAATACAGAAGAAATAGAAGAAATAGGTAAATTTTGTAAATCTTATAAATTAAATAAATCAGTCTGATTTTCTAATGCAATATGTCAATCAATTTTGATGATGTAATATAAGTTCTTCCTTAATATGATTTATATGAAATTAAATCTAATGATTTTTGTAAATTATTTTTTTAAGGCAAATTTTTAATGTTAACAATATATTTATTTATATAATTATTCATTATTTTTAATTTTTATAAAAAACAGCTTTTAAAATTTCTTTTTTATTTAACATATATTATGTAATCATTTTCTAATCATTTATTATAAGGTAAATATAATGTTTAACTATATTATTTTTCTTAAACTAGAATAATAATACACTATTTTTAGAAATCTATAATGTAGAATATTAAATATTATTTTTAATATAATATTTTATTTAAATATAATTAATAAAACTTTATTTTTAATAATTATAAATACTTTAAAATAATATTTATCAAATGATAAATATGATAAATAACAAATGATCAGTTATTTAAATGTAATTACCAGTTATTTTAACTATTTATAAATATAGTATATTTTATAATTTTTATGACTTATCCAAAAATTATAATATATCTAATAATTATAAAAAAATAAAATAAAGTTTATTAGATTTATCATATTAAGATATATCTAATGATAGTATTTTTAAATTTTTTAAAATTAATAATTATTAATATATATCAATTTTTTAATTTTTTAATTTTTTATTTTTTTATTTTTTTATTTTTTATTTTTAA